CTGATTTAAATGTCAGCAGAGTACAACTCGCCAGCCAATGCAAAGTCCATCTGGATCTGAATCAAGGCAAAAGTGCTTGCTTTACCAAACCTGGATTGGTGGGGCAGCTCAGCAGAGGGAGAGGGAGCGCAGTCCTGGTGAAAAGTTCGCCATGCAATCCAAAGACATTGGTTTTCTCACATTTAACTCACTGTGCATCAGGGGGGCTGCACCACACCTTTAAACTCCATGCTAGTCACTCATCCTTATTTTTAGTTTGCACATTTGGTGGTTGAACGATTCTTTCTGGAAACCGCACTGAATGATCTTTGAAAAGAGGGCAGAGTTCCATTGGAGACGTTTGTTGTTGTGCTGCTGCTGTTTTGTTTGTTTGTTGGCTCTTTACATAGATGCGCCGCAGTATAAGTGCTGGGTGCTGGGTGGATGCATGTTGCTGAGACTCGTGAAAAGCATGATAAGATTTAGAAGTAGGGGGGAAACTGCCCTTACCAACCTGGCCACACATCCGTCTAGTCCTGAGGCATTGCCAGAATGTTCAGTGCTTCTGCTTATTGACCTTTCTCTCGGAACAAATGAAGAAACATGAAAAGGTTCAAGCAGAAGGGTGGAAGAAAATGTACATCAGCACCAAGGGACATGGGATGGTGACGGAGATTAAAGCTTGAGAAGTTATGTGTGTTAACCACGTCTCTGGTTGTTGGGAGGCAGTCTGGCTAGTGATCTCATACAGCACCACAAAGCTACTCAACTAGAAAGGAACAAGGCTAACAGATAAGACTGATTTATACATCAATATGTGATGTAACTAGCTACCAACACCCCTCCACAAAGAGAGAGAGAGAGAGAGATAATGGCACTATAAGAGAAGACAGTCAAGATATTTCATTTAAAAATCATTATTCCATCTCTGAGTCCCCTTATCAAGTTACCAGTGGGGGATGGCAATGGGTTTCTTGGTTTTATTTCTGAATAAGGAAAACGGCCTCTGGTGAGGGAAGGGTTACGCCTCAGTCAATTTTAGAAACTCTGCTGAGAATACTAATAAGTGTATGAGTCAGTGCCAGGGACGGTGGCCTTTCCTTTGAGGGGAACAGCCTTAGAAACTGGACTGCCAACACATTCTCCTTGGGCAACAATCAGCCAGCCAGAAGAAAGGGGAAGGGTCTGAGAAACTGTGGCAACTGAGTCTTACTGGCTCTTCGTCCAACTGTGAGTGGGAACTGGGGAGGGGACACAGTGAATGCTAATGAAGCTCAAGGCAATTGGCAAAGGCTGAACCTGAAAAATGTTCTGGCTGGCTGAAAAATGTTCCCCAAACTCCCAGCAGCCCTACAAGGTAACACCACTCTTCATAGGTCAATGTTCTCGATATAACCACAGACTCCTTCACAAAGAGGAAACTACACACTACTGAGTTGTTCCAAGGCTTTCAGACTTCACAAATTCTCAACTCCATGTTCTTAGGGTGGGAAGTAGTACATTTAGCATGTTTACTGAGAAAACAAGTAGTTAAACTTAAAATAATAACCAGTTTGATTTTTTTTTTAAATCTCAATCTAAGCCATCAACAATTTAAAGACTCAATAGAAATTGGTTTAAGCATCCTTTGTGGGTTCAAATAAATCCCTCCTTCCTCATTCATCAGAATGTATCTGATGTTCAGGAAGTAGGTTTTTAAAAGACCGAAACCAATAATGTACAATAACTAGTGTGCATCCCCCTCTTAGGAATGTAAATTCAATCTTTGTTATTGGAGAATGCTTTGAAATGATAAGAAAGCACCCCTCCAAAATTCACACACAAATTTTTAATTCCTCTTTCCAATAAGAGCTTTGCACACATTCCCATGTCTCAAGTATCCAAACAGTATGGTAAAATAAAGGTGATTTTAACAGTGATTATAAAATATAGTAGCTTTTCTTATCTCTACTGTATTCCTTTCTTGCCAGACTTCATTCAGATTCTGGGGGACAGGGGGTGTGCAGCATGGGAATCGAACCTGAAATGTAATAGTAATTCAAAGACGAGGAAAGTGGAGGAGTCATGGTTTTACTTAAGTAAAGTTTTCAGTTTAGAAGTAAAACTGAAGTTTAACTTTAGTTAAGTAACCCACGGCTCCAAGGAACCCGGTGTAGGCTTTTCAAGGCTTTACAACTTTACAGGGTCAGATAACCTTGACTTTTTCCCTTGGAGAACCTGTTAGCTTTGCACTGCTGAGCTGATTGTGAGCAGTCTAACACATGCCCCACTGCCCTCTTATTGAGTTGAATAGTGGGTTAAAAAGTATTCCTTAACAGATAAAAGTAGAAATATCTTGAGGGATGAGTCCCTGGGGCTTGGAGCTCAGGACCATGGCCTCAGCAGACATAGGTTAATTGGAAGAGCATAGTTCACAAAGACCATCGTCTACAACCTACTTCGTCTTAAAGCTCAAGAGTAGTCATCTAAGAGGCAGCAATAGGTCGTTCCCTGTCCAGCAGAAAGAAGAGGGATGAAAATTGAAAATGCATGAAAACAATTAGTCTAATGGATGAATAGATCACAAATATCAGTATCCAAATTCCTGAGACCAGAAAAACTAGGTGGTACCCGGCTATCAGTAGCAATTCCTCTGTAAATGATCACATACTGGAAGATCGGGATAAAATGGGAGGAAAATGTGGACTAAAACTCAAAATCATATACAACAACATTAAAAAAAAAAAAAAAAGAGGCTTATTGCTCGAATAGAGATTGAGGAAACCCGAAACTATGGCCTTTAGTCATCCTTCAGGTCTGAAACTGAACTGACGCTCAGGGCTCAAGTTTCAGCTGAACGAAAGGGGAACAATAACACTAATGAAGTATACACACCTGGAATAATCAGCCGTTGGGGACCCAAAGGGCAGCATTTACCAAGGACAACGCCTTTCAGAAGGGTTAGACACGAAGGAGGAATGCAACCAGGAAACCTGAGGAGGAAGCAGGGTACACGGTGTTTCATTGTGGGGCTTAGATCGATGAGATGAAATCAAATGTGTCCAAATTGTTGAATGGAAAAAAAGTTCTCCTCTGTAAACTTTCACCTGTTCCACAAGGAAAAAAGTTTTAATAGAAAAGTACTTAATTAACTAATATTCACTGACAGAAGCTCATCTATAATAGTGGTATAAATCAAGGGTTATGATTATTCCACTTCCAGATACCTGAGGTCCCTTGAAAGAAATAAAAATAATAAAGAGATGGTGACGGAAGCGCTCAGCTCTCAGGTCTATCTTCCGGTGTTCATTCAACTCGTTGGGCAGGGACAGCTTCCCAGGTGTGCAAATTTGCAGTCATAAAAGACCCCCCTCTCAGAAGAACACTCACCCTCAGAAGGGCCCTCACACTTGGTTTAATGCTCTGCAATAACCATCCTGAAATTCTAATAATTTTTTTAGTCAAAGGCCCCAATATTCCCTCTGCAGAAAATCCCAAAATACGTACATGTAAATGTGCATGTACATGTATATGTAACTCTTCTCGCATCTAGGTTTCTAGACATTAAACTTGTCTACAGTTTCAAGTAATTTTACTTTTGCCCAGAATCCATATTATAAATTTTGACTGCTTCTTACTCAACATTGATGACTAATATAACAGTCTGATGAGCACCCTGGAGTTGTCTTTCTTGTATTTCCTATTTTTGAATATTCTTTTATTTTCCATGGCCCGGATTGTTGCTGCCTGTGCTGTAAATGGAGCTACAGCTAAGTACTGGACTACAAATACTGCTTCTTGGATCAAAATTTTCATCTGGAATCAATGACTATTTTGCCAGTCAAAATTGAATGCACTGCATTCACATAATTCATTTTCATTGCTAGATCATACAAATCCATTGCCCCATGACTGTCAAATTTCAACTGTAGCATGCAGCCCAACAGGACAAATTCTCCACAATTTGTTTTAGCATGGTAGAAAAGTTAGAATCAGTATTTAGCTGTATTCATATGTTCAAAGATGAATAGCTAAAAAATAAGAAATAAAACAAAAGCATAAAGTATGTAAGTATCTCCTGTTCCTGAAATGCCCTAGGTCTGAAGTGATCAGGTAGGGATAAGTTATATCAAGTTCAAATATAACTTCACGATTACCACATGATGCAGAATCTTTCCACCCCTACACTCCAAAAACCCAATCAGACGAGTGGCGGTAATCTGACTCCCTGTGCACTGGGAGCCTGGGGCAGGCAATGAGAGCCCTGCACTCTACCCAGGGAAGGAATGAGTGGCAGAACGGCAGCAAGAAGGTGGGGGTAAGTCCTTCTGTGCCTGAAGGGCAGCAATGCCTTTTTCCAGGCCAGAAAATGAGACTGTGTCTTTTACTGCCTTACACATGCTACTTAAGCCTTTTGGGGAAGATTGTATAAGGCAACAATAGAGCAGGTGGGTGGGTGGTTCTTTTAGATCTCGGTACTAGGCATATTCAGAAGAGAGAGATTGAGAAGATAGTAGAAGAAAAGAGATGCTTTTAAACGGATCTTTCCTATCTTCTAGAACCCGGAGAGCAAATTAGCCTGTGGAGGAAAATCTATCTGTAGTCATTTTCAATGGGAAAGGTACTTACCGGGACTCGGTCATCCAGGAGTATAGATCAGGCGGTGTGTTTTGCTACAAAGTAATGTGCCTGGTTCAGTACAGCCCAGTCACATCAATAAGGCCCCTTTGTTCGTGGGCAAAAGAAGTGAAACTAATTGTGTTGATCTGTTTCCAGGGAGTGTGAGAACTAAGAGAACGTTGACCAGAATGAAAGGGGGCTCCCAGAGACTGGGGGTCGGGGGGTGGGCGCTTATACGGTCAGATGTCTGCATCGCCAGAGAACTTGTGCTTTCAGTGGGTGCAGGCTAGTCACTTTGCCCTGGAAGGAGAGTGGATGGTGTGGGTCTTATAAAGAGGTTTAAAGCACTCTTCAGAAGTGCATTTATGTGTTTTTGCTTTATTTTTTCTTTCTCAGGCTGATGAAAATTTGAAGTAGGAAGATTAATTGAGTTCCCTAAATTAGGTCTCTGGAGAGGTAGACAGGTGCGTGAGAGAATGAGAAGGGACAGAGACCCAGAGAACTGGGCGAGAGAGGGGAGGTGTAGCCCGGGAAGCTGGCCTTTGCCTGCGCCCCGCCTCGCCTGGTGCTCTTCTGTGCAGGCTGAGCCAGGACCTTTGCTGCTGCCCCACCAGGCTCTCCTCGCTGCCTGCTATGCCCTCTTTCCTCCCTAAACCTGGCCACGGAGAACCGACCCCTGGGATAGCACCTTGTCCCTTGGCTGTCTCAGCTACAGGCCATAGGCTGCCGGTGAGTTCAAGAGCAACCCTCATCATTCCCTTTTCCACTTCTGACTTCTTGAAGCATCTCCCCCTTTGAGATGCCATTCAATGTCCCAGCCCACCCCATTCCAAGTGCTGTTTTTGTTTCTTTATTTTCTATCCCTCTGGGGAGTGTGATGTCCTGTCCTCCCAGCAGGGACTTGGCATAATGTACTCGGGAAAGTTTACTTGAGTGGGGGACCCTTGGGAGATGGCACAGCTTCCCTTCCACAGCCCTCTCTTCCTGTCCCCCGGCATTCGGCTCCAGTGTTTCTTTCCAGCTCTGGTGCAAAGTGCATGTCAAATCAAAGGCAGGGCCGAGACCCTGAAAGGCCAGGGTGTGTCCGTCGCTGCTTTGACGTAGCAGTCGCTCAGGGCTCATCGGCAGCGTGTGCGGATGGTGTGAGGGACCCTACTACTCTCTGTACGATGTCCTGGAGAAAGCAACAATAATTCTCAGCTCCCGGGACTCGGCTTTCTCGCCTTCTTTACGTGGTCCTCTGTGATGACGGTCTCTGCGACATGCTCTCCACAGCACCTGTGCTCACACCGCCGTCCCCGCAGAGGACAAAACAAAGGCCTTGGGTCAAGGGGTGACTGGGATAACACACTCACTCCACTCACCCCAAAGAGAAATCCTAGCCATTCCTTGCCAGGATGCAGTTGGCAGAACCCCAAAACCTGCTTTCCCAGGAGCAGGCGGCTTGGGACTGACCACACCCCTTTTCCTGAAGGCTTCTCCCCTTCTCCAAGTCGGGGGCGGTGGGGGTGGGTGGGGGAGCGGCCCCCGGCGGGAAACGGGAAGGCTGGACCAGACAGATGGAGACAGGGGCTTCATAGCCGGCCTCAAAGGAGCAGGAGCGGGCAGGGTTTCCTTGTGCGTCGGGTTGCTCGGAGTCAGAAACCCCCTCGCTGGCACCGAACCACAACCATCAACAACCTCAAGGGTTGAGAATGGGCCGAGCAAGAAGAGGCCGTCTTCCTCCTCGACCGCTCCCAAACCTAGCCCCTCCCAGGACCCTTGTCCCAGGCCAGGTGGCCAGGATGCTCGACTGGACTCGCCGCGGGCGGAGCCAGCAGCGAAGGAGGTGGCTGAGTGCCTGTGTCCCTTAGGTCTCCACTGTTTGTTCACCTGGCCGCGGTCCTGGAGCTCCGTGCGGCCAGGGAATGGCGCTCCAGGCCCCCCTGGGGCCTGAGGGTGACACGTCCCTGAGCTTACAGCCCAGGTCTGGGCGGCGCGCCCGGTCCCCCGGGCGCAGCTCCAACTGCAGGATCCTCTGGCTGGCACAGAGGAAGGGCTCAGAGTGACCCGGCTCAGGTCCCTCCTGTACCCGCCGCTGCCACCACCATCCCCAAACTCCCGACCCCTCCTGCACCTGCCCCCACAAAAGACTTCGCAGCACGCCTCCTGTTCATCCCAGTCCTGGGGCGGGGAGGGGAGTGGAAGAGGCACGTGCTCCACAAAGCCATTTTCAGAATGCCATTTGAAGCAATAAGAAAATCAGAGGGGAATTTTTTTTAATTGCTCTGATGTTCACAATCTAAACCATACATGAAAATACATTGAAAATGTGAAAACTTGCTCTGAGGGAAATAACTACAAGGTCAATATATCTTGTTTTTACTGTTTTCAAGGGACTTGACTTAGACACTTTTCCTTTCCAGGATTAAAGACAAGACTGCCTACTCCCATTAAAAAACCTAAAGGACCCAGCCCTGCTCTGTCCTATAGGGTCTCTTTGATGGCAGTGGATTAGGGGTAGGGTAGGGCCATTCAGTTAATTTCTAGTGGAACTGGATGATGTTTGAACATGAACGCAAAGAAGACTAGAGTAACAGCCCCTGGGCTAGTGAGATTGTCCACAAGTCTTCTTGCTGGCTATGCAAATAATGCAGCTAAGGAAGGCTGGTCCTCCTCAGCCTCAGGTAAGATGCAGGCCTGGCCTGCCCTCCTTTCAGCCGGAAACCTCTCCAGATCAACAGGCACGTTTGGTAGCTTCTAATGCCCATTTGTGCTTCTTTTCAGAAAGTGCGGCCCTCTGTGTAGACGAGAAGACATCATGGTGGCCTTTAAAGGGGTCTGGACCCAAGCTTTCTGGAAAGCCGTCACCGCAGAATTTCTGGCCATGCTCATTTTTGTTCTCCTCAGCCTGGGATCCACCATCAACTGGGGTGGCACTGAAACCCCCTTACCTGCAGACATGGTCCTGATCTCCCTTTGCTTCGGACTCAGCATTGCAACCATGGTGCAGTGCTTCGGCCACATCTCCGGGGGCCACATCAACCCCGCTGTGACTGTGGCCATGGTGTGCACCAGGAAGATCAGCATCGCCAAGTCCGTCTTCTACATCGCAGCCCAGTGCCTGGGGGCCATCACTGGAGCCGGGATTCTTTACCTCGTCACACCCCCCAGCGTGGTGGGAGGCTTGGGAGTGACCACGGTAACATCTATTTATTTCTAGTTCTTTTCAAACTAGAACTCCAAGTTTCTTGCAGACCCTTTCCCAAATGGCCCTGGGGCCCTGGGAGCCCTTCCTAAATTCGTTAACTTATTCCCACGGAATTTGCTATTCCCTGGGAGACAGGCACATGATTCTTGAAAGAGATGAAAACGGATTCGAGGAATCATGCATGGAGCCATACGCCCTTGTTTGCTAGGGGATGATTTGAATATGAGGAGGGAGCCCTACTAGCATGTAGTTGGGTTATGTGTTGGGTTGGCAACTGCAAGGTCTGCAGTTCAAAACCACCAGCTGCTCCTCAGGAGGAAGATGAGGCTTTCTACTCCAGTAAAGATTCAACGTGTGGAAACCCACAAAGGCAGTGCTCCTCTCTGACCTCTGGGGTTTCTAGGAGTCAAAATAACTCCGTGCAGTGAGTTGGTTGGTTGGTTGGTTGGCTGGTTGGAAGTCTGGGAGCCATTTCTTTGACGGTGGGTGTGTCTGAGTCATCCTTTGTTGTGGTGGCTGGCTGTTCCATGGCATCTCACTCAGAGGAATTTCTCTCCATTTCCTTGGCCCTTTTCTGTCTGTTGGACTCTCAGGAGTTTTCACCACGAAAGATGCTAAAGAATCGGGCCTGGTTTCAATCCAATCTACAAAAGGTCACGAAGACTTGAGGCCAACTCCACAAATCTAGTAGCACAGAGCTTACACTGGTTTGTCCTCTCTGTCTCCCACCCCAGGAAGCATACGAACCAGAGAGGTAGCTGGAAGGCATTTTTACTTTCGGTATTTGTCAGTTCACTTTCAGAAAAGTAAACAACTTGTCTTGTCCATATGATTTAAAATGATTCATGTAAAGCGTCACAAGTCAAAAGTATTAATTGATGTTTGACCCTAGTTTGGTTCTTAGCTGATTAGAAATATTATTCATTAGTTCCGTGCCAGGGCTGATTAAAAATCACACACTGTTTAAATTTTAATTGAAATATATATTAATTAATTTAAACCTAATTAATGGATTTAATCACTGCCTTATAAAATTACTAGACTCTCAAGAAACTCTTTTATAAGTTAAATGCAACAGTGACACATTTTTCTTTGTATGTAGAAAGAGGCATTGAGCCCAAACACACTTGGTCACTGTCAGGGTCATTAGCTGTGATGAGCCAAAAGAAAGGGAAGTTCATTCCTTTTTTGGGGGGGTCTCAATTGGGGGTTCTGTAAGAGGCTTCAATTTACCACTGTTTTTATTGGAATAAAAATAAAATATGCCTTTCACAACGAATTATCTGTTGACATTTAAAAATGAGCCTTTGCTTTGATTCAGGTGGGGAGTCTTTCTCTTTCTAGGTGCATGGCAGTCTCACCGCTGGCCACGGTCTCCTGGTAGAATTGATAATCACATTTCAGTTGGTGTTCACAATTTTTGCCAGCTGTGACGCCAAGAGGACGGATGTCACCGGTTCAATCGCATTAGCAATTGGATTTTCTGTTGCAATTGGACATTTGTTTGCAGTAAGTTTCCAAGTCTATTTAAATAATTGATTCATCTCACCTATCCTCCCCCTAAAGCCGGTCTGAAGAAGTTGTGTTTTACTAACAAGGAGTCTCTTTCATATCCAACCATGTCTGTCCACTTTAAGTGACTGTTGAAGTGAGGACAATGGTAATAGGTCTGCAGATAGCTCGATGACTTGGCAAACCATAGTAAATCGCTTAGTGATGTCTGATATTGTTTTATTTTCTTTTTCCCACAGATTAATTATACTGGTGCCAGCATGAACCCCGCACGATCCTTTGGGCCTGCAGTTATCATGGGAAATTGGGAAAACCATTGGGTAACTATTGGGTTGATAGTTCCTATCTTCTTAAAATTGAAGACAAGTTAACTATGGGGCTTTCTTCTTTTTTTTTTTTTTCTCACTTACTAGTTTCGCTGACAGCCTCCCAACTTTCTCCCTCACTTTATTCCATATTTCATAAAGACTAGAGAAAGACTAGCTCAGATCTGCTGCCAAACATCTCTTCTTATTTCTGTTCTAGGCCTTTAGTAACAGCCTCGTTTTTTTCTTAAGCACTGCTCTGGGCACTCTATCTGACAGACTGCAGCAGAATATATTGAACTTGGAGGAGGCCATGTGGGACAAGTTAAAATCAGGATGATGTAGTGAATATGGTGTTTAAATAATTGAAAGAAAAGCCTTCCCAGCAATAACAGAAAACATACTGACAAAAAAAAAAAAAAGAAATGCATAAAAGCACTGCCCATAGCAAATGTTTACCTTGTTTTGTTGTTGTTGTTGTTGTTGTTATTGTTTACAAAGCATGAACTCAATTAATAAAATGTGGTTTGGAAACAGTTGAACTGCAGATGGTTGAGAACAAATGGTTCAAATCTTTTTGCTATTATCACCGTAACCTCAGTTGGAAAAATAAATGGCTTTCAGAATAAGCACACTTTTCAATCTCATGCTTAACCTATTTAATCATATGGTGGCAAGGCTTCTAGACAGTAATCTCCATTTTTTAAATATCGCAATCAATTTGATTTCAATTGTTTCTTACAACAAAGGAATTTATAGTCCCTTAGATGAGCAATGGGTGTGGCAGTTTGGAAGGCCATGCACACTAATGTACATTAAGCAGCAAAAATATGAGACTTATGGAAGTCAGTTTTAAATGAGGCTTTTATGGTCATTTATATGGTATGAATGTTATCTTATGACTTTTATTTTTAACTCATCAATATAGCAGAATGGTATATTCTGTGATTCAGTCTCATGCATATGGGGGTGATGGGCCTAGGCACAGCGCGTCACCATGGAGTCCACAGCAGAGGGGCAGAAATCGTACCACGGCGATATGCATCACTTCTAAGAGATCCAATGCTTTAAGTGTAAAATCTATCATTAAGTGGCAGCATGGCAGGCAGTGCTCAGAAGTCACTTTTGGATTATCGCCGTGTTAAAACTCAGTCAACATCGCCGTCCATGAGACTGGTGAGCCTGCCACGAATATTTCCACTTACGCCTCAAAATATTTGTCACTGTCAACATAGCGATGAGTTTTAATGCTTCCTCCGAAAAAATGAGCAGGAAGTCTATACCAATTTGTATCTATGTATATATACACATATAGATCTTAAGTGGAAACTCAACATTTAATTCAACTTACTAAATCCAAGCTATATTTCTCATTGATGCTAAAAATATACACAGCAAACCACTCACCGACTCAGCAATTCCTGCATGGACAATATCCTACTATTGATTACACCAGTGGCTCTCAACCTTCTGAAGGCCATGACCCTTTCATATAGTTCATGTGGTGGTGACCCTCCCAACCATCACATTATTTTTGTTGCTACTTCATAACTGTAATTTTGCTATTGCTATGAATCGGGCAACCGCTGTGAAAAGGTCGTTTGATCCCCAAAGGGTCGTGACCCACAGATTGAGAACTGCTGCCTTAGCGTATGGATCGAGAGCAAATTTCCCTTCACATTATTCTGTAGAAAGCTAACTTCTACTGAAAACGAATATTTGTTCTGTGAGAATAATTGCAAAATTTTAGAAATAATTTAAAGCCCATAGATAACATCACAATAACGAAATTAATGTTTATACCATAAATGGATATTTCCTTTTCTTCTTTGTACTTTTCTACAGGTTCTAGATTTTTCAGCAGAAATAGTTTACCTTTGCCAATTTAAAATTTTAAAGTACGTTATGATTTTGATTTGGACATAGTAACTTGAAACTGAGCTTTGTGTATTTTTGAGAACATGCAGCTAGATGTCTCCTTCATACGTGTTTAGGAGGCTGCAAGGTAGTTATTATAAAAAAGAAGAAGAAACAATTGTAGTCAAAGCCACTCTACCTTATAACCACCATGCAGGGATTTGCTCATCAATGCTGACTCATAGTGACCCCATCAGAGAGGGTGGCTCTGCCCTGGGAGTGTCTGCGACTATAATTCTTTACAGGAGTAGCAAGTCCTGTCTTTCTTCCAAGGAGTGGCTGGTGGTTTCAAACCGAGGACCTAGCGGTTAGCAGCCCAACTCTCACTCACTGCCCCACGAGGGCTCCTCAAGCCCAGTCACCGAGCAGTGGAAGAAAGCAGTCCCAGAAAAGATGGAGCATAGGCGCAGAAACCCCATACAGCGCCATTAGGATTCAGAGTCAACTCAGCGCAGTGGTGTGGGTTTTGTTTTCATTGGTCCTTAAAGATCCTGGGTGACACAAATGATTTGTATTCAATGGCTAATCTAGAGGTAGTAGTTCAAGCCCATTCCGCGATACCACAGAAGGCCTGGCAATGTTCTTCCGTTCAAATGACAGCCAAGGAAACCCATGGAACCGTCTACTCCCCAGCATAGGGCGGGGGTTGCCGTGAGAGTTTGGATTATGACTGTTTCTGGGTGGTCCCGGGGTGGTCCCATGTGTGCTCGGGTAGTTTGATCTCCCCCAGCAGCACCATGGAAAGAAAGGCCTGACACTCTGCTTTAGAGAAAACCACAGTCCAGACAACCACAGGGCAGGAGCATTCCTAATCCCAATCACACGCGATACCATGAGCTGGAACCGACCCGATTGCTATGGGATTTTTTGTGGTGGAATTTCCCTTGTGGGATTCATAGCAGGTGTTAGAATCCATATCCAGGAAGATCTTACTGAAGCAAGGAAAGAGTACAGACCTGTTAAGGAGGGCTCTCGCGGCTCCTTGGAAAGGGCAGGGAGGAGATAACCTCCCAGGCGGTGCCTTTCATGTGCACAATAAGGAACGAGTTCTTACAGCCGCCCTACCAGGTTCCCTCTTAAGGGTGCGGGTGCTGCTTCAGCTTACAGGATTCCCAGTGAGATTGGTTTCCAGTGGGTGCGTTTAAGAAAGAAGGCGTTGTCCTTGTTTTTCAAAGAAGTGTCGTGGGAACAGCAGTGTGGTTCACAGAGGAGTTCCAAAGGAAATCAGACACACCTGACAGCCCGGTGTAGGCCGCTAGCTAACCAGCCGATTATGAGCAACTCTCTTCCTCCCTCTGAGCTGCAGTGTCTTATCCATAAAACAGACGTGAGAGTAACAATCCCTACGGTAGAAGGTATTGTTAGAAATAAAGGAGACATAAGAGTGCTCAATGAAGAGGCTTTCTGCTGCTCCAGTGGGCCTGGTGATGACCGACGGTGTGCCATTGCTCTAACCTCAATGCTGCATTCGCCCCAACGCAAAACGTAGGTTTTTCGTGACACCATGACGGTATGGCACCAACTTCTCTTTATTGAATGACAAGTTCTATGGAGTTGCTCATCCTCAAATAAAGCATTGTCCATAAGCTTAGCATGAGTTTTTGTTTTTCACCGTGCTGCCATTGTAAGAACATATGGGGTCATGAGCAAACCAGGGAATTTTCTACTCAATTCCCCAAATTTTAGGGCAGCAAGGTAGGTAATGTAAGGGGACTAAATGGCTTTCCCTGTAGCCAGCTGTGGTCACCGGCAGCTTCCCTGAAGCGTGCAATTGAGTGGTGGCTAGGAGCTGGGAACGGTTAAGGACTACCAGTCTTCTTTCATTAAATCTTTTACATTCCATTAGGTGTGTATTATTACAATCTCCACTTTGCGGATGGGGAAGTTAAGGCTGAGAAAGTTAAGTGACTATGTGTTGGAGCTGTGGTCCCATGTCTCATGCGGTACCGAAAAACCACAACCCCCAATACTAAAATCTCCCTTGTCATCATGATTGTGCAGGGGACTCCTGTCAGCTAGCAAGATAAAGAAAATAAGAAAAGGACTCTCAAGAAAGCATTTTGTTCCCATTGTAGTTAGGGAGTGTGTTGTGTCTGCTTGACTTGTAGCAACAAAAAAAGAGGAGCTGTCGTTTACGCTGATGACTATCAGAAAATGTAAAGAAATAAATTAATGAGAGAGCAATAATATATGAGGAAAACGGTCCTCTCCTGTTTAGCTTTTAAATATATGGATATCTGACATGGATTTGGAATATTTTCTTCTCAATGCCCCTCTTTTTTTTTTTTTAATTTAATATGACACCATGGCTCTCTTAACCCACCCCAGCTAGTGTCTGCAGTGGTGAGTTTTCCCATGGGATAGCTGGTTTGCACTTGCATTCCAGCAAGTACCTAAGTGGTGCAAATAGTTAGCCTGTTTAGGTGCTAACCAAAAGGCTGGAGATTTGAGTTCACCCAGAGGATTCAGGTAAGAAACATCTGGAGATCTACAACCGAAAAATCAGTCCTGGAAACTCCCATAGACCGTCGCTCTGCTCTGACATGCAGGGAGTCGCCTTGGGTGGGTATCGACTCTATGGCTTCTGGTTCTCTGGTCCGTTGCACGCTATACTCATTCATCTTTCCTTCAGATCTATTGGGTTGGACCAATAATAGGAGCTGTCCTTGCTGCTGGCCTTTACGAGTACGTCTTCTGTCCAGATGTTGAACTCAAACGTCGTTTCAAGGAAGTCTTCAGCAAAGCTGCCCAGCAAAGCAAAGGGAGCTACATGGAGGTGGAGGACAACCGCAGTCAGGTGGAGACCGAGGACTTGATTCTAAAGCCTGGAGTGGTGCACGTGATGGACATCGAGCGAGGCGAGGAGAAGAAGGGGAAAGATCCATCGGGTGAGGTGTTATCTTCCGTATGACTAGAAGACAGCGCTGAGAGCAGACGGGAACCCGTAGACCTGGCCTCAGATTTCCTTCCACCCATTAAAGAAACAGATTTGCTATAATTAGACACGTGCAGGGTTTTACAAAGAAACGAAGCAACGTATTATTTCCTACCGTATTCCTCAGTCTAAAGGTTACTATTTCACTATTTACCAAGGAGGAAAGGGGGGGGAAAAACACTACTTACTGCGACTACCATTTCTAATATATATTTAAGTAACCCCAAGGCAACTATATGTAGCAATTCATCTAAATGTCTTTCATTAATCACCAGTTGCAATGCCTATTGAGATTTGATTAAGTCTTGCTTGACAGAGCTTATAGACACACCTATCAGCGTATTGCTCTTCTATCATGAAATTGGCATTGTCAATTCATTTGGATATTTATTCCATCACAGCATGTGTCTCTGCAGCAATGGGCAGTGTGTCACAGAGTTATTCTCATGAACGAGAAATGAATCATGCGCTGTCACGGGCAGTCACTAGTCATAAACTACCTCGGCAAGAGAATATTAACAAGGGTCCTTGCTAATGGATCATTTTCTTGTTAATACCTGGCTCTCAAACCCATCTCCACTTCACAGTATTCCTTCCTCCTCTTAGTGCCCTCTGTCATGTGGGCCTAACATCCAGAAAGTTTAAAATAATTCTCAGAAACAATATGTATTTATTAGTTCCATCTAATAACACATCCAGATCACAAGAGTCTCCACTGGCATTTACCGCAAGTAGACTCATAAAATATTATGGGGCCCGGGGGAAAGCTGTGATTGTACAAAGCACAGTGAAAAAGGAAATCTGTATTCTGCTAACACATGGTTTCTCTGTTTTCAGTGCACATACTTAAATGCACCACACGTGGTTAACAGTCTAAGCTTTTAACCATGTAATCAATCACCTTGCTTTTTTAAAAATGTATTGGCATAATTGGGTGTTATGTCTGTTCATAATTTGGTTATATGGATGTAAACACTAGTGATATATATTGTTGATAACAAGAACATAACTAGTTAAGTCTTGTCTGTTTTGTTGATTCGTAAGCTCTGCTCACTCTAGAAGCTGTTAGCTGGTCCTGCCCAGTGCCACTCTCTGCTGCTCTCTCTGTCCATGGCATTGACGACACTCTTCACTGCCTGTGTAATGATAGCTGAATGAATTAGCTTGCGTGAGACACAAGGAACAATGGGGTGGCAGAACGCAGGGGTTAGAACACCAGGACCCTCTGTATTCAAAGCTGACTGGCTGAAGTAGTTTCTTCTTCATAGAGATATTGTACATAAGCCAACACATTTTTCATAGCACTGTATTGCCGACTCGGTTATTTGTACAAAAGCGTTTGTTTTCCTGGGCTGCTTTGCCTTATGTCAGTAGAATGTTCTCTGGGAACCCCAGTTTTTATCATCTAAATTGTCTAGCCTTTATCTTAGACAAAGAGCTGTGAATGTCAATTTTGCTGCACAAAAGCTAGTTTGTAGTAAAGCAAAAATCAACCCTATCACTGCGAGGAGTGGCTTGTAAATAGCTGATCATCAAGGGCTTTCTTCTCCCAAGAAGAGCTCCAACTGTGTGCCACTTTTTAGCGTTAATGGCAGTTGTGTGTCTGTGGCGTTGACATCATGGACCACTATTAGAACCTGGTTCTCTCTGGTGCTAGGGAAGAGCGATGAGGCAGCTTCCCAGAATTATCACAACTATGTCATGGCCGGGGGTGCCACTGGCCTTTCTGGTGGCAGGTGCCTAAGTGCTGGGCCCCATTCTCCAGCGTACGGCCACACCACACTGTGTACCCGGGAGACATGCTTACTTGCTTGTGGGGTGGCACCTACAGAAACAAGGGTGAAATCCCTCCCAAGCATAGGAAACATCCATAAGTTCAAATGTTTGCTTACAACCTGGACGGATTTGGCCCAAAAAGTAATGCGATCACTCATTGACAAACATGTCTACTCAAAAGTAAGTCAGGTTAACAAGGTTAAAAACGTTTTCTAAATGAGCTTCCAAGATGAGGGCGTATTGTCATTTTTATTCTGTCATGGGGTTGCTTCTTACTCGTTGGGGCTCGCTTCCCACGAGAGCTTTCAACCAATGGGGTAAAGGGGATGGACGGTGTTTGTGCCCTTTGTTTCCCAGCAATGAGTCGAATGCCTGGCACTTAATAGGTCTTAATAAAAATAGAAAAACTGCATTTTGGATTTAAAGAATATCTATGATTTCCTCCTCATCTGTGTTATGCTCAATATTTAGTAAAAGCATGATCACAAGGACAATGAAGGGAAGGCAGCAGTAATGTGAAAATGATAAGCTATCGTTTTGCATTCTACTATTTTTAGATACACAGAGTGAATGACAGCGTTGGTGTTCCTTATGCGTCTGTGTGTTTCCCCCTTGCATATGAGACAACATATTTTGTATTTCACTCAAGGCTCTGCCAGTAAAAAGTAATGAAATTGTACCTTTGTAATGACATCTATGCAGCAGGGGTCTATTGCCTTGAAGATGGTACAAATTATCCAAGTGTATTAGGAGACTAGGGCTTTTTTCCTTTAATCCCTTCTTATTAATGAAGTGCACAGCACTGCTCCCAAGAGAGTGCCGCTGAGAGACACACAGAAAAGAGATCAGAGAGGAAAAACTGGGAGAGCATAAAGGAGCTACACCCAGGCACTAGAGCCATGCCAGCCATCTCTTTCCTAAGGATGAGAGTCCAACAACAACAACAACAACAACACCAACACCCACTGCTATCGAGTCCATTCTGACTCACCGTCACCCTGCTGGACAGAGTCAAACTGCTCCCTAGGATTGCCAACGCTGTAAATCTCTATGCAGGCAGACCGTCTCATCTTCCTCACTCTGAGCTGCTCATTGGTTTGAACTACTGATCTTACCGCTAGCAGCCCGAGAAGTAGCCCACGACACCATCAGGACCCCTGGTACTATAGCAAGGAGCCCTACAAATGAGAAGGTTCAAAAACAAGGTCCTTACACTGAAAATGTAGATTGATGGTTAACTGAGTAGAGACTGAGCTTTTGGGGGGCATTGGACCCCAGAAATTGAACATATGATTTAATTATTGAAGATGCTATTTTCTTCGGGGAGTGCTAACTCTGTATACAGGTATTAAGTCATTCTTTGCAGCCCAACAGTCAACTAAAATATGAGATTCCTCTATTGTTTCTGTCATTTGATGCTTTTGATAAAGTCCTCTACTGTGTATTGTTGGCTCCTTTCACTACCATATCTCCTAGGGCCTAAACAACGGCTGCTGGGTTTCGAAGATTTCACAAAGAGATTAGAAATGTATGAATAATGTGTATGATGAAATTGAATGATCTGATTTATTAGAGGTCAGTTTCCAAATAGCACAGAATGTTCTTCTCAGGCCGTGAAGCCAGGCAAAACACTTATTGATTTCAACTCGGTAATGACTGGAAAACTCGGAAATACAGCAGCAAAGTCAAGTGCTAAAATAAATGCTGGCACAGCCCATTGCTGTCACTGGCCGCATGTTGTGAACATCTGACAGAGAAATTGCCTTTGTGACACTGAAGATAATAGTGTGAGGTGAATACCCACTCTTAGCAAACAAGTAAAAAGTCAATATAAATTTTCATCATAAGCACTATAGGATATGCAAATCTAGAACATTGTATACCGACAAGTAATTATACCTTTTTTAATGTGTTGAGGTGATTTTTTTCCCCGTAGGATGAAGTTACTATCCAGAAAATATAATGTAACAAAATCCATTCTCTTTACTGCAAATTTTGTGTTTGCCTTTGTATACTTTATGGATGGCCCCCAGACAGTATTAGTTTTTTTAAACCACAATTTTCTGAAATAAATGGAAGACATTTGATTTGGGACTCTTTAATTCAGGAATCAAAATATATGGCAGCTCACTTTCATAAATGAATATAGCTTATGAAAATATGGATCAAATAAATGTTATAGAATGTATGCAATGAACAAGAAACTTGAAAGGAGTTGTGTGTTACTCCTTTTAAGAGCAAAGCACTAAAAATACACCTGATTCATATGCCCCATAGGAGTGCATTTCTTGATTATCTTCAGGATTAATTAAATGAACATGTAATTTATGAAAATGTATAAATAATTGTTGATCATCTTTAAGATCTAAATCACAATAAAATTGTCATTCATGATAAATGGGAGAGAATAAACTGAACATATGGCTATATTCACAATTATTTATTAACTGAAATGTTATTCCAACATAGAGCTAATGTTAAAGAGATTTAAACTGTAATGTCTAATATTTTGAATAATCTGTTAAATTGTTAGCTTTGTGGTTGATTTCTATGAATAATGTTGTATCTCATACTACTAAGCTTGTGCAAATAAACCTTGAAATATTGTGCAAAGTAGTAAGCTTTCTGTGTGGTGTTCACACTTCATTTATTGTTCTTGCAAGCCAAATGTTAGGGTGGGCCTTTCGAATGACCAGGAGGAGTTAGATATTTGATGATCATCAACACCAGATGAAATGAGTGTATAGCCCACGGAGTCACACGTGTTTTTGGAAGGCCTGCAGACGCAGGGTGGTTGTCCTGGACGTACGCAAATGAGCATCGTGTTTCCATGGGCTTTGTTCAAAATGTCCACATTCGTGCAAAATAAGCCGTTGAATATGAACTCTCATTATAGTGAGTCTAAAAGTGAAGAATCAAACAACTGCCACGCCACTGAAATTGCTGTGGCTAAATAGATGAGTCATCCTCGGGGCATTTGGTGAATTCTGCCTCTCCAGACAGATAATGTAGGCTCAATGAGCACTGGTCTATTCCCTGGGGTTCCTGGTTGGAGGAGCTCCCTTAATTTTGAGAGGTTATAGACCTTCAGTGGAGAATTGAGGACAATCATTTATGTAGAATGAAACCCATCAGATGAGGGGAGAGTGATGCCTTAGGAGCCAGACGGTTGTGTACTTTCTTGCAGCATTTATCATACTGTAGTGAAATCATTTGTGTAGGTGCCTGTCTCTCCTACTAAATTCTAAACTCCTTAAGGGCGAAGGCTGTGTCTTATTTATTCTGTATCTTCCTCTGGAGCATTGAGCACTCGCCTGACATTTCACTCAATAAATGCTTGTTGCATGAATGAAGAAAGGAATTAATGAATATCTTACGATCATTAAGAAATGCCACCAAGCACTATTCCTCCATCTACTTGTTTTCTGCTGTATCGATATGTGCTAAATATTTGAATTCTCATCATTCCAGTCAGGAGCTCCAATTTTAGCTCAAACATTAAAGAAAAATAAAAGGAAAATGCACAGAAAGAATGAAACACTAATTGGATTTCTAAAATTTATACCTAATGTGTAGGCAACCAGACATGTTTTCATTGCTATATTTATACAATGGCCAGATGTTAGATGAAATTTAACTCAATGAGTATTTCAGCAAGAGAAGTATTTTAACAAGCATGAGAAGCTAGAAATACAAATGTCAGCCTGTTTTTAGATAATTATTCTGCCTGAAAGATGTCCAAAACAACATGTCACCTGAATTAACTTACTATTTCTTTTCCCATGTTTTTATTTCTCAGGTTCAAAGATACAGGTGATTCTAAAAGACTGTGCTGAGTTCTTCTACTGATGGCTGATCATAAACAAAACAGCAACATAGATGTGTATAATCGTTTTGCACAGTACAGCAGTAGCATATGTTAGGTGCTCAATAAATGCAGGATGAGTTCCTGGAAGGACGGACGGACAGACAGACAGACGGATGAATGGATGGATGGATGGATGGATGGATGGATGGATGGATGGATAGATGAAAGAAGCATTCCATCCGGGAGTGTTAAGTTAATTCGTGAGCAGATAGAAATCATAACCTGTCTTCCTTCATCTCTTTCAAGGATATATTTTCAAAGAAGAGCACTGCATTATTATCCAAGGGTGATCATGGAAGAGAGGAAATGGATTAATTATAATAATTACCTACTATGAGCATTTGTATTGGGCTTCAGAATGTATAAAGAAAATTTTCAATTTGATTCTTCAAGGCTCAATGTTGGCTCATGACTATCATTCCCACTTCCAAGAAGGAAACCAAGTATTAAGGAAATTAAGAAATTATCCAAAATTAAACCTAGGAGTAAAGCGGTAGTAAAGCAAAAATAAGAGCCCAGATCTCAATTAGTCTCAATCCCAATGTTATAGACTATATCAGAAATTTCTTCCATTCACCTATTCAGTTTAAATTCCCCTCAGCCATGTTTCCTTTATACAAAGAGAAATATCTTCTATCCATATTAGGGGGAATTCTCATGTACATCAAAGAAGGCAAAAAATTAAGCACTAAAGATATTAAATATTAGAAAAGTTCTCAAATAAAAGAATGAATGGTGTTTACTACTGAAATAGATGTACTTTTAGACATGCTTTAGAAAATGTTGGTAGATGCTTCTTTAAGAAAATATTATTAAGAAAATTACTTTTGATATTTTTCACTAGGTTCAGAAAAGAAAGTTGACAAGGTATTGCAAAGTTACTGATAAGGTCTTCCACATTTCAATAATAATTATGATTTATAATCATTGAGGATCAAAGGCGTCATGGTAGCACAGTGATTAAGTGTTCATCTACTAACCAAAAGGTTGGTTATTCAAACCTACCCACTGCTCCTTGAGAGAAAGATGTTGCAGTCACCTTCCATAAAGATTACAGCAAAGGAAACCCTACAGCGCATTTCTTCTCTGCCCCATACTGGCTCTATGAGTGGGAATTGACTTGAAGGCAAGGATTTGGTTGGTTGTCTGTTTGTTTTGGGAGGAATTCCTTTGTGCCAGCTATATGTTTTACAGTACATATGTACTTATTCCTCTTAACAACCTTATAAGGTAAATACAGCTATAACGCCCATTTCATGGGTGAAGAAACTGAGGTCTAAAGAGAGTAAGGAACTTGTTCAAAGGCAAGCAGTTACTAAGTGTTAAGACTGGGATTTGAACCCCAGCAGTCTGTCTACATAGTCCATACATTTCAAATTTCTACAACCCTGCCCCCTACTCCATGTGGTGCTTCAGGGTTTCAATAGTTCCAAATTTGATAATCTGCTGTTTCCAAGCCTTTGATGTTTCCTATCCAATAGAGATTAGTATGTTTGAACCTCTCCACTGTTCCCGACTTCACCTCTGATTATCATTTGACGACCTCAGAAGGAAGAGTTAAACATACACGTGCAAATGCCAAAGATAAATAAGGTAACTTACAAGGCATTTTGTAGAAGAACTTTGAATGACTAAGAAAAACATTTCTTTAGTCAGCCGGGATATGGCAGAAACTTCTTAGGCAATCTACCTTCCATTCTTAGCTCCAAGTTCCCTAGCTGGTCCTTAAATTGACCTAATTTGAGTTTGCCTCCCTTTCATTAAGTCTAATAATACATATTTTAATTCTTACACGCTTATTAATCAATATACGTCTGGCTCTTACTTCATTTGAGGCACTGTAGGAAGGCTTGGCAGTCATCAACTATTATACTACTCCTTTACCTACACCAGACTATACAATTAAATAGCTCAAGGTTTTAAAGCATAAAATAATATAAAACAAAGGCTTTTTTCCAACAGGTTGAACGTGACATAATCACAATGACAACAGCTTTGGGAAACCACTCAAGAGTATGAAGATTAAATGTGTCCTCTCATTCCATAAAAACAAAGTAGACCTGCTGAGGTAGTTTATTGTGCCAACCTGGCCAATAAACACATGCAGGATTAATTGAAGGGCAGAGAGATAAATAGCTTGGTGAGCCTCACCTCTCTTGTCTCTTACTCTTTGATCATCGGACCAGTGTGCGGCTGCCTAGCTTGTTCTGTACATCCATTTGCAAGCTACACTACCTGTGGGACACCTAACCCGTGGACTGTGTCGCTGTAATTTGAGGTTACTTCAAGACCTGCTTCAGCACGCTACTGGAATTTACATCTCTTGAGATGGGGACTGTCAGACCCTGTCATCTGGCTGACTCTTGGTGACCTGCCTTGCTGTTTGCTGCCTGTGCCCGGATAGCCTGAATTGCTCTACAGAGCACTACCCGGCAGCCCTCAAGACTTGAAGGACTGCCAGTGTCTCACAACTGTCTCACAGGAGTGAGTTGCACTGAGCCATTTGTACTGCTTTATAATTTAATTAACTGTTTATTTCTTATGTTATCTATCTATCTGTATAGATATATATATAAAATTATTAGCGTTCTGGTTTTGTTTCTCTAGAGAACCCTGTCTGGCACATCTGCATTTATAAAAAATTGGTCAAACACACCTAGTATAACTCCGTTTATAAAGTATAACATTGTAGACTAAAGCCCAAAGTATTTTGACTCTAGACCCTCAGAAGACAAAGAAAGCTTTGAAGTGCAGAGAGGTACTACCAGTGACTGTGAAAAACTATTCATTTAAATTTTGAGCTCACAAAGAGGGAGACGAGAGACAGGGAAAGAAAACCTGACTGCACATTCTACTGCTTGCCAACAGCTCCCTCCGCCTCCAGCTTCACTCCACAACATTTTGGTAACCACGGCTAAGCTCATTGTTTTTCCCCAGCCAGGTAAATACTAACTAACATCACAGCAAGAAGAGAGGGGCTCCTCGCCCTCTGGTTCCAGAATCCAGAGCTAAAAAAACAAAAACCGTGCCATGGATTAACTTTATTATGACCTCATGTGTCATGACCTATGCTCCATCTTGAATGGCTGGGGTTTTTCCATGTAGATTGCCACATCTTTTTTCTAAGGTAGCGCTTTGTAGACTTGAACTTCCTGCCACACACTGAACTGTTTGCACCATCCTGAGATGCCCCCCATCCGATGCAGGAGTTGCTAGGACAGCAGTTTCCCAGCCCAAAATCAGCACATCCTTGACATCCACGTTGGATTAGAACTCCAAGAGAACTTGCACCAAACATTCAGCACTCAATTTTAATGGTCAAAATATCAAGCTGAAGGGAAACAGACTGCCGTAGAACTAACAGATTCCTGGAATCTTGCAACGAATGCAAAAAAATAGGATATCTTCAATACTCTCAAATAATATAGCCTCTACATTTTATTTCAAAAAGAATTATGAGTCAAAATTTCAACAGGGGACACATAGGAATCATTCACCACATTAGGCTACTCCAGGATTTCAATCGCTGTCGATCTAAAGAATGAAAGTAGCTAGAATTTCTTTAGTAACCTGCAAGAAGGAAGAGTCAAGAAACACAGAGTAAGATTTTTCAGCCCCGTGAAGTCTGCACGTTATAGTTAAATCATTCATATTCTTTGAACTCTAATAAAAAAAATCTCATCAAACAATGATGACATTTTCAGCTCATCAAAGTTTAATCACAAGATATTGTAATTCTGATTTTCTT